TTGATCTCAGGGGGATCTCACTTTTTTCTTTTTCCCTCCTCCTTAAACCAAGCCAGTCTAACTCTACACAGCTTCGACTCAGCAGAAAGAGCAGCAGAGAGATGAAGAGGCTCATTACTTAGAAGAGGTTCACACCTCTTCATTCATTTTACTCTATTATATAACTAAGCTAGCCAATCAAAGGGAAAAATACTGACAGCCACTTTTAAAACGCGTTTCTTTACATGATCCTGCATTAAAATAGACTGCACTTTATAGGTGACAAAAGGAAGACTGGGGAAAATGTGGGCCCACCGATGAATGAGATAGGGAACCTTGTTACACAGGACATGGAAAATGCTGAAGTACTGAATATCAGCTCGGCCTCAGCCTTTCCTAGCAAGACCAGCCTTCAGGAATCCCGGGTCCCAGAGACCAAAGGGAAAGACTGAAGCAAAACCAGTAGACCCTTAGTGGAAAAGGACTGGGTCAGGGAATCCCTTAGTAAACTGAACAAACTTAAGTCTAAGGGGCCTGATGTGATGCAGCCATGAGTGCTGAGGGAGCTGGCGGATGGCAAAGTGAGGCCACTCTCCATAATTTCTGACTAATCGTAGTGAGTAGAAGAAGTGCCTGAAGATGGAATGAAAGGAGATGTCACTCATCTTCAAACAGAGCAAGGAGGAGGACCCAGGGAACTTACAGGCCAGTCAGCCTCACCTCCACCCCTGGGAAACTGATGGAGCAGCTATCCTGGAAACCATTTTCAGGCACAAGGAACAAGATGATGCTCATCACAAATAGCAAGCATGGCTTCACCAAGAGGAAGTCATCCTTGACCAACTTGCTAAGTTTCCATGATAAAATGACCAGCAGCCTGGTAGATGAGGGGTGAACAGTGGATATTGTCTACCCAGACTTCAGGAAGGCCTTTGACACTGTCTTCCATAAGACTTGTCGGGTACAGCGACACACTTCACTCGTAAGAGAGAAGTGGCAATATTTTCATTGGTATAAACCAGAGATTTAAGAAAGTTTTATCAAAAAAGTGAGAATGACTTAACAAGATGTAATAGCAAAGTACACCTGACTATTTACTGCATAGAGGACAGAGTCAGACAACACTGTCAGGGAGACCCTCCCATTGAGTCATGAGGTTCAGAAAGATGCCACTTGCATCCTAAACTCCTTCTCAGAGGAGAGTTTAGGTGACGATGGATCCAGACTCAGTCCTAGACTTGATCAATTATTTATGTCTAAAGGATTATATGTGTACAATCAATCCTTTACATCACTTAGTTAAGATTTCAAAGTTTAGCATGCTTCTATACACTTACCAACAAATCTGTTGCAGCAAGGAACTTCTCAATCTTGAGGAGTAACCTTGAGAGGTCTCCCTACTCAAGGGGAGATCCTGGTATGCTGCCTGCTGCTGTGCAGGAGAGCTCAATGCACCCTGGGCTGTCCACTATTTATGGAATAAAATAATTGACTCACAGTTGTATTTTCACAGTTACCAGAAAACCTACTTTCTTTTAAACATGACTGGAGTTAGACCTTGACTGGGCACGTTGCTCAAATTATCCCTTGGCTACTGTGTTATCTGTCTCCCCTGAATTCAGTTTGAGTTGGATGCAGCCATGGCAAACAATGTATCTGTTAAGACTGACACTAGTGGTTATCATGTGAGTGGAGCTGGGGAAATAAAAGTCAAGTTGGTGAAGAGGTGGCAAAGGGAAGTACACAGTCAGAAGATCCTCACAGACAAGCTGTTGATGTGTAGGCTGGATGAGCAGACAGGGGCATAGAAAACTGGTTGAATGGCTGTGCCCAGAGGATGATGATCAGTGGCACAAAGTACAGTCAGAGGTCAGGAACTGGTGAGGTACCCCAGGAATCACTACTGGCTCCAGTCCTTCTTCACCAATGGCCTGGGTGATGGGCAGAGCTTATCCTCAGCAAGTCTGCAGATTACACAAAACCAGCAGGAGTGGCTGTCACATCAGAAGGCTGTGCTGCCATCCAGAGGGACATCAATATGTGGGAGGAATGGGCTGACAGGAGCCTCATGAAGTTCAGCAAGGGGAAGTGCAAAGCCCTGCACCTGGGGACAACTCCAGGCACCAGTACATGCTGAAGGCTGCCCATCTGGGAAGCAACTTGGCAGAAAAGGACCTGGGATGTCCTGGTGGACACCAAGTTGACCACAAGCCACAAAGATGATGGGCTAGAGCATCTCTCCTGTGAGGAAAGGCTGAGAGAGCTTAAACAGTTCAGCTGGGAGAAGGAAAGGCTCAGGGGGAATCTCATCGGTGCACAGAAATACCTGAAGGGAGAGTGCAGAGGATGGAGCCAGGATCTTTAAACTGGTGCCTAGTGGCAGAACCAGAGGCAACGGGCACAAACTGAAGCACAGGAGGTTCCCTTTGAACATCAGGAAGCACTTTTTCATTGTGAGGGTGACCAAGCCCTGGCACAGGCTGTCCAGGGAGGTCATGTAATCTCCATCCTTGGAGATACTCAAAAGCCATCTGGCCACAGTCTGGGGCAACCAGCTCTAGGTGGCCCTGCTTGACCAGGGGGTTAAACCAGATGACTTCCAGAGGTCCCTTTCAGCCTCAACTAGTCCTTAATTCTGTGATACACTCCTCAACTTTTAATTAGAATAGCACATATACAAGACAAATCTAGAAATACAAAAAGCTGTAGATACAAAATCTGCTATATTTAATTAAAAAACATTCATTCTGAGCAGTGGTTTCGGTTTTCCTTGTAGCATTGCTTTCTATACACTCATTAATATCAGTTACTATTTTAAGTCTTATGGCAAAGACTTTTAAAAATTACACAGTTTCAGAGTATTAGAGAACCACACAAAGTTTTCTAAGTGGTCTAGAAAAAAACACCAGATTTAAGACAATCTTTGATAATGCAGAACAGAAAAAAAACCCTCAAAACTGTAAGCTCCAGTTGAAAACAGCAGATAAATAGGGTAACACAATTTGTCCTAAACAGTGACAACTCTGTTTTAAGTTGGCTGGATACAGGCTGCTCTGACTGCTTGGTTCTGGATGTCAGGCCACTGAAATTTAAAATTATTTACATTATAGGCTCACATATACATATATACAAATAGATTTTTATTAGTTACTCATATTTAAAGGAAAACATGACCCTAAGCTGCCCCACTGGAATAATACGTGAATGGGAAATGGTGACTGGAGCCCTCAGAATTAAGCAGAAGGTAAACTATTCATTTAACAGTGTTTCAATTATCTGAATTTCACCTTCAATTACAGACAAGCACAAAGAAACACTTATGAAACTTTTATCTGACTGGGTTCAAAAGTTCAAGATTTTAGTCATCCCTACCCAGGGCTTGATTTTTCTCCTACAGAAGTACTCGAGATACTCAAATGTAAAATTTTCATATCACATTCATGGCTTACACAATCACACCCACTGACTCACACAAAACTGTCAGAGCTACAGAGAAGGTTAATACTGCTTTTCGCAAATTATATTCCTGACTGAAAAGGAAGAAGATTTCTACAAATACAATGAGATGAACATCTTTGCCCCCGTGTCTACCACCTGAAGTAAAAAATGGTGTGCCTTTATGAAAAGCAAACAAAAAAGGGGAAGATGCTCTATCCTCCAAGCCAACATTCATAACATGATGCTGCTGCCTTTCACTGTCATTCCTACATATGTGTAAAAAAGTCCTACAATATGTATACTGCCACAGCCTATCATACAGCATTCTTTAATTCCAATATTGCACAGGTCTTCTGCAACAAGAATTTTTAGAGCTGCTAGTCCTCCCAGGCAGCAGTATTTTAATTTCAAATTAAAGAGTCATGGTACTGTCTTCCAAGATGCCTGAAAGATACAGAACCAGATAAGCAGATGAATCCATGTTGACAGAAAAGCAACTTGGAGAAACAAAGGGACTACATCATGTTCTCTATCAAATACACACTGAGTATATCAAATCCACTACCGAGTATCTCTGGAGAGAGATCAGACACAAAATGCCTCTGGGCTATTTTCACTGCCAACTTCCAATTTCCATCATTTGCCTGTGAAGGATGTGAGGTTATCATTAACCCAGTCTAAGTTACTTCTCAAGCGCAGGCTGATCCCTGCGAACAGACACTGAAACAAGAGATTTCTGCATCATAGAAATAAGAAAGCTTGAAGTGTATGAAGTTCAAACCTCTTGCCATTAACTGCTTTGACTTAATACATTTCATGTCTTTACCTGAACGCAGGACAGTTTTTAGCAGTCTCTTCCCCTCACTGGTTATATGAGAATTCTGCAAGTTGCAATAAGATATACAAAAACGAACAGTTGAATAACTCAGTAAGTTGTTGTTTTGAAAGCACAGACAAGTTCAAACATTATTCACTTCAGATGAACAATGTTGGAATGATTTTACCCTTTTGATTAAAACTTCCTTACATCAGATGTTTCCACAATCTGTCCAAAACTGCCAGATAAGATAGCTACCCTTGCCTACGCAAACAGCGCTCACACACAGACACGACATCAAACAAAACGGACAGTTACAACAATGAACAAACTATTTTATTTTTCTTGCTAGATAGGAACATCCCATTGAAAATAAAGAATAAAAAATATATTCTGCTGTAACACTCTGAATGCTTGAACCTCATGCTATAGCACGCGGAGAAATTCTGGTACAGCAAATCACAGTATTCCCGGTGCACATAGGTGCACACAAAGCCTTGAACAAATATTTATACCCATAATAGTGCCATGTACAAAAATGTCATTCCATAAAGGCCAAACAGAAAATTTAAACATCTTTGTTTTTTTTATGCCAAGGGCAACGTAGAAAATGAAAACTGTTTTCAGTCAATTACTTCCACTTAAACTATATGTGATCTTTTTATGCTGAAGAACCCAAATTCAGCATAATAAAGTGTGGAAGAAATAGTATACAATTATATATATGTATAAACAATATATTGAACATGTGGGGCATGATGTTTTCCTTAAGACATAATTGTTGGTGTATCCATACGGAAGTTAAGTCAGTATTTTTCTAACATAAAGAGAAAATATTCTGTTTCTTCAATGAATGCTCTGACTTTTCTCACTACAAAGAGCATGCCTGTACTATTTGTCTAAGCACACATGCGCCACAAAAGATATGCAAAACAAATTGATATAGATAAACTTTAGTGTCAAATGTCTAATGATGTAATAAGAAAAACAATTCTCAAAGTCCAAATGACTTGCTGAATTAAAATTGCATTGTAGTCACTTAAACTAACGAAATACTTAGACTTGTGAGTCACCAAATTCACTATTTTGCAGCGGTATCTCTGTTGAAACCTGATGAGTATCAGACTACTAGTAAAGCAAGGCATTTTCAAAAAAGGAATTTGTAAAAAATACATTTATACTATATGCTTTCATATAAAAAGGCATTAAGAAATACAATAAACCCTAGCATTTGAGGACTACACCTTCCCTAACAAACAGTTTTTATCACTTTACTATTATATATGGTTTCACTATTACATTCAGTTTCCTACACAGAAAGTATATTTTCTTCTCCCTGATGTATAATACAATAGCAGTGACAACAAACTGTTTTATTATCACCACTCATTCTTGCAGCTTAAACAAACAGCACCAATTTTACCCCCTAAAAAAAGGTTTATCAGTTACATAATAGCACTTCCTTACAGGAAATATAAACCCAAAACATAGTAACCAATGTGTCTTTCCAAAAATATATCAGAATATATGGCTCAGATTTAAGGGATGAATATTCAGGAATATTGCATAGTACAGGGATCTCACCTGTATGAATAAAGACACCTTTTGATTGTTTGTCACCTTCTGACTCCAAGAACAAATTAAACAGGTGCTAAAGAAAGTAATACACAGCTAAATTTACTGGTAAAAAAAAAAACAACAAGAAATTGTACAGTTCTCTCTGGCACAGTGCAAAGTACATATTAAAAACTGAATACGTATGTACACTGTGTATGTATTTTTATATATATATAGTATGTATTTCCCTGACACATACACAGGTACATATAAAAAGCATGAACACACATATCCATGCCAAACTGAGCAAAAAGATGGAATGTTTATGATGTGGATGCATTGTTCCATTGAAATCAGTTCCTCCCAGAAATGGCTGTTTACACAGCCAATATGCCGTTCCATGAAACAGAAATATTTATTGCCTGCATAAATTGACAATATACCATGTATTTGTCCTCATAACTTACTGAAGGACTGATAATCACACTTTATAAAAGCTTATATTTGTATTAAGCCCTCTCTTCCATAACCCTTCCTCTCTTCTGGAAGACCAGACAGAGTATTCACTACAGAGATGAGATCTTCTATTTCAAGTTTTTCTTGCAATATAAAAGTTTACAGCCACCACTGTAAAAATTTTAAACACCTGAAGCCAGTTTATTTTATTATTTCCCTTTGGGATTCAGCTGTTTTGGTTCTGAATATGAACACATTGGCTGAAGCCTGTAACACAGAACACACTTTTCAGGATTAGGAGAGCGCTGTTACCCGACCTGCCCACACCCAGTATGATCAACTGTCCTTGCCTGCCAACTTTCTGAAATAGTTCACAAAAATACCAGGATGAAATACAAATCACTCCCCCCCCCTTTTATCCTGAATGTCTTTTTAACATTTTGAGAGCACTTTCAAAAAATAAAGACTATTTATATCAGCAAAACAGTTTCAAACAAAGGGGATGGCTGTGAACCTGAGAGCTTAGTGTGATACAAACACACACATTTGTGGTATCTCCACGGTCTAGTACTTTCCTTGTTTAAGTCGTTCAATGTGGTAGCACAACTTAAGGGCAGGCCCCAGCTTCAGTCCCATATATTTCACTATCATATCACTCCTGAGTAAGAGCAGTGCCTTCCCATCAATTTCCTGCAGAAGGAAGAGAATAAACACAACATATAACTTTAACAAGTTGCATGGTAAAACTGGAAAGTACATTATATTTCTTTATACTGTCGTAAAAAAATGTCTACTATATATAAAACAGTAACTTAGTATAACTTTATAGTTACAGATGACCACTGAAATTTAATTTATTTTAGCATTTTTTAATGTATGAGTAAGGTATTGGAGTTGTTAAAGAAAGAAAAATATAGTAAATAAGAGAAACTGACCAAACAGCCCTCAAAATTAGGTCCTGACTGGGAAGAAAAAAGCGAGCGGGTCGAGGGGGAAAAAAAGAAGCTGCAAAGGAAGGTCTGTGCAGTTAGAGATTAAATGATCCAAGCGCTGAGGCCTTGCACTGAACCTTGAACACAGCTGTGGGAGGATTTTGGCATGTGCATGCAAACAGTCACACAGAGGAAGGGGTTATAGACCATCTAAATCTGTGAAATAAGACAGATCTATGTCCATGTCGAACCAGAGAGATTGTTAGGATCAAGACCAAGGACAACTTAGTCAGATTTTAACAGCCTGACTGAGAAGCTGCTGAAATATGACAGTCCTAAGCTCTTAGTATCATTACATACTGTAGACAGGCAATTAGTTTCATAAAACACCATAAAGAGGACCACTCTGTCTTATTTTTTTAAACATAAACCTGACAAAACAAGTGACATTTACCGTTGTTATACAACTAAGAATAAAACATAAGACAGGAATCTCTATTAAAAGTTATTTTGAGTTTTCCTTCCAATCCAGCTTACTCAGAGATTTAACTGTTAGTAGCAGATGGTACAGAACATGGGTGAAATACTACTACAGAGAAAGCCAACCTCTTTTTGGAGGGCCATATATACAATGAATTAAGAAAGCAGCTCTTTGCTGAGCAACCTGACATAGAAAAGTACAGCAAGAAGGTACAAGGGAGATCAAAACCAGCACAAACTGACACAGTTTCTTTCTCTAAAGATAACATCTAGTCAGACCTTATGAAAACCTGTGCATTGTTTTTCCAAACAGATGAATTCAACATTTCAATTGATTCTCTGAATTCTAGTATTAATGACCAAGTGTTCTAGCTAACAAGGGATAACAGCATCTCTACTTTGGGACGTTAAATCTCTAAAACAGGGGGGCCAAATGCCCCGTACTGTACATGGGAATACCATTTTCTCTTGAGATACCAGGGACGTTGGCCATTAGAACTTGGGTACTTCCAGTATAGGCATTATTCCATATATGCTGGAAAGCACTGGCTATTTACTTTAGTCTAACAAGACTGGAACACAGAGAAAATATACTGCAGGAGGAATTTCAGGTGGAAAAATAATTTTCAGCCTCCCTCTAATATACACGTAGAGTCTATTCTACCTTCAAGTGTAAGTAGAGTGATAGACACGAAAGCTATGTTTTAAGACATTAGTGTGACACACAATCTACTAGAAAGGAATGGATATGCATCATACATGTCTCCTAAAGAGTTCTGCATGTGGAGCCAGTGCCTGTGGATCAGCTTCTTTCACAAAACGCACCACTTCCTCTATTGACCAGGTGGAAGGGTCCTTATTCAATATTCTTGAAGGTTCCCTTTTTAGTGAATTCAAATCCGGTCCAGTTGTGGAACTTGCAGCTTTTAATATAAAAATATTGTGAAAGGAAAAAGTATCACTTGTCTATACAGGGATAACACATTTCATTTCAGGTAAGACACTTCAATATTAACTTTTGGCTTTTATTACGTGCTCTTTGCAATATATTAAAATGAAAGATGCTTTATTTTCCTGATAGTGAATTGTTCCTTTTGTTTTTAAATGCCTTCTATAACTGCAAGTATTTACAGCAGCACAAACATTAGCACTGTGACATACCTAGAGGGATTAGTTTGACTTGTACTTGGCTCCTGGGTCCCAAGACGCTATTGACTGGGAATGTGGTAAAGTCAATTTAAGCTGTGCAGACAGAGGGAGAGACAGTAGGAAACCCTATCCCTGTATTTCAGCAACATGGCAATAGCTGATAAGACGCTCAGGAAGTGATATGCATATAGGCCCTGTCTGGTCTGGCTTGCTGCAGGTTCTGTAACAGCAGCAAGAGGAAGGTGCAGCAGGCAAGACCCGCCTCAGCCTGCACAGCACTATTAGTTCTAACAGGCTTAAGTTCTGCATTTGCAGTTACATTAGCAAGCCTGACATGCTTGGCAACAGCACGTTTCACTCCATATGCAAGCTTTCCTATGGCAAAGAAGTTCTTTATTCATAACTTTGTATGTTAGTAAAAGCAGTTACATACTTTGGAAGGTTTTGTATAATTGCATACCTTCAATTCGCCTCTGTATTCGATTCCTACTGACTTCACAGTAACTGCTGCTCCCAGCAGAGCTCAAAGACAGACTGCGCAGGATTGGGGCTGAATTTGAGGTAGCAGTTGCTGGTTGATGGGAATTTCTGTAATATGCAGCACTTCCTGCCGTACGGTACTCTGTGGAATTTCGACAGGTTGGGCTTGACAGATTTACAGAATTAAGTGCAGAATCCATAGAGTCCTCAGAAAATCGGTGTTCTTTGGAAGTGCTGTTTTCCTCTATAGGCAAAGTTTCTGCTACACAAAAAGGAAATATCAATATGTTCAAAGTGATGGACGTTATACCTTTATTATTTAAGACCTTGCTATGTTCTCTTGAAGACACTGACAGATTGTAAGCTTGTTAACCAATCCCCTGTGAGGCAATCACTGCTTTTGAAAGTTTCCCCTTCTCCTTAAGTAATCAGTGGTCTCTTACTGTATTTTTAAAACTTTTTTTTTTGTAGCAAAATATTTAATATGTCAACTTTGAGACAGCCTTCATAAATCATTTCAGTTGTATTTATTGAATCCTATGAACAGGGAAGTGACAAAGGAATTTTTTTTATAAAATTGTCTAGTGTTAATACTGATACATCAAATAATTTTAGTCAAGAATTTTCATTATTTTTAAAACATATTCTTAAGAAGCTAACCATTAATATTATGTAACAGTTATTTTGCAAGACATTTTTAATACAAATAAAAAACTCATGTTAGCTAATAATTGTCTAAATTGCTCTAAACAGCAGAGGGAGGCACTAACTTCATAAACAAAACAAGTGGACAACTGTTATCTATGGATCCCAAAAGGTTCAGACACAGGCACCATTGTTAAAAAGGGAAAAGGTTACAGGGAAAGGCATAGAAGGCTGTGAGTGCCCTGTACAGCACACTAATGTAACATGTTTTTGACCACAGTGCTGTACCTACAGACCCTTAGTTCTTTGGACAGGGAGGGGTCTCAGAGTCTGTAAGCGCAGACTCTGGAAAGTTAAAGGTACATGTAAATTACTGAACACATGGAGCAAGCAAAAAAAACCTCAAAAAACATCAGATCTCATGAAGGGAGTATAACAATATTCTGGTTCTTACAATTTATCAGCTAATTTTTAGTCTGCAAAAGGCAAACAACATCCACTCAGAAGACTTGTGAATTTTTAGAGCCTCTCAATACTGTTTCTAAGCAGATTAGCTAAGTTCAGCAGATCCTTTCCCCTGTGGCATGAGAGAGGAGCCAGGTTTGCTTGATTACTGAAAACTCCACTCCTGTTCAACCCAATTCAGGTCTGTTTGGGAGAAGCATGCTATGTGAGGGGAAAAAAAAAATCCCAAATCAACAAGACCACCACTCCATTCTCTATCAATCATACATACTCCTCTCTGTTTGCATCAGGCCAAGCAACAGCATGAGAATGAAGTTGGAACCACAATGTACAAATCTGTATGAAACAAATGCTGCTTTGGCAGGAGAGTTAAGAGCTGGAAAAATATAGCTAACAGGTTCACAGAAGTGTAAGCCCCACACTACCATCTTGAAAATTACTCTAGTGAAGTTATAAAACATATGCTAGTGAAGCAGCATATTCTTTGGAATAAGAACTGGTATATTCTGCGAAACAAGTTCATGAAATAACCTTTTTACTACCCTCTTATATGAAAACTTTCAAGAACTTCTTGGGCAAATCCTGAATTAAAAATAAAGGAAGAGTATTTTCCTAAAAGAAACATCAAGCTTCTCAAGCATGCTTTCAACTTGGTTCATGAGGTCTTAGGTTCTCTGCTGAATCCTGTTTAAACGTGGAGTGCAGTGAAGAACTGTTAAGTGTATTTTGGTCCTCAGCCAGCATAATCCTGGGAGGGGATAAAGGCATTCACAGAGCCAGCTCCCTACTTAGTGAATTCAGTAAGGCAAGATCACAGTCACAGAATCATTTAGGTTGGACAAGATCACTAAGATCATCAAGTCCTACCATTAACCCAGCACCACCGTGTTCACCACTAAACTAAGTCCATGAGTGCCACATCTACGTGCCTTTTAAATACCTCCAGAGATGATGACACAGCCCAGGCAGCCTGTTCTGATGCTTGACAACCTTTTTGGTGAAGAAATTTTTCCTAATATTCAATCTAAACTTTCCCATGTGCAACTTGAGGCCATTTCCTCTCATCCTCTCTCTTGTTACCTGGGAGAAGATAGCACTCCCCACCTCCCCACAACCTTCTTTCACATAGTTGTAGAGAGCAAAAAGGCGGAAGTGGCTCAGGGAGCACTTCCACCAACTCCCTCAGTACCCTGGGTAGATCCCATATGGCCCCATTGGCTTGTGCATGTCTTCAGTGGTGTGTCAGGTCCTGACCTCAGTCCAATTTCCCCCAGGATTATAGAACCATAGAATTGTTTAGGTTGAAACTGTTTAGGTTGAATCACAGAATTGTTTAGGTTCTCGCTGTCTTCCAGCTCATGAAGGTTGTCCAGCTGTCTTCCAGGAGGCTGGGTACATGGAGAACAACTGATCTTATTATTAAAGACCAAGGCAAAGGAGGCATGAAGTACTTCAGCCTTTTCCTCAACCTTTGTCACTCTGTTTCCCTCCACATACAATAAAGGCTGGAGATTCCCCTTAGCCCTCCTTTGATTGATGAGAAAAATAAGAAAAAAATTTTCTTGTCTTTTACAGCAGTAGCCAGGTGAAGTTTTATCTGGGCTTTGCCCCTTCTAATTTTCTCCTTGAATAACCTCACAGCATCCTTGTAGTCCTCCTAATTTTCCTGTCCCTTCTTCCACAGGTCATAAACTCTCCTTTTTTTCCTGAGTTAACGCCAAAGCTCTATGTTCAGCCAGGCCAGTCTTTTTCCAGCATTTGTCTTCCAGCATTTGGAGACAGCCTGCTCCTGCACCTTTAAGATTTCCATCTTAAAGAGTGCCCAGCCTACCTGGACTCCTTGTCTAAGAGACAGTGTAACATCATTTACTAAATTCAATACTTGTCAAATAAAAAAAGCTTTTATGGACACAAGTCCTTCTCTTTCATATAAATAATTCTAAAATAACCACTGCAAAACTTTATAGTTTGTCAAACTTCAATCACAAAAGCAAAGAAGAAGCTAGTAAAATTTTCAAAAAAACAAACAGGAAAATTAACTCATATTTCTCAGAAGTAGTTACAGCAACTTATAAAAATTAGAAACAGAAGCTATCATTCCATAGAATTTCGGAAAGATTTTAAGAGATGTAGTCAATGATGAGCACTATAAAATTAAAAGCTAGCCAACCAAGGGAAAATTAGAGCTGTAGAGAATGAAATCACTAACAGAAATCTCAGTCCAAAGCCAAAAAGCAGAGGTGATATTTTAAACAATTACAGCAAAACTATTTTTGTAGCTTTCATAGCAAACAAGCAGGAGTCCAAACATAGGATTTTTTTTGAGAAATAATTGTTTCACATAATCTTTATCAAGATTTCTGAAGACAAAAGATTAAAAAAATTGACTGTATTTCAAAAGAATTTAATTATATTTATTTCAATTATATCCCAGACTTCTTTCTGATGTTTTATACCCTAAAGTAAAAAATAATAAATAGGTCTGGGAAAGATCAACTCTGCTTTTTTGCCCTAAGATACCCGCATTTGAATTTATCTTACTGTAAACTCTCACATACACAAGGTGGGAAAGGTGGCGTATTTCCCATCATTTTTTAGGGAAGGCGTTCGGCAACTATAGTGTCCAATCCACCTTCTGTTCCATCCATCTAGCTGCTCTACAAACATCCAGCAAATGGAGCTTTGCAATCCATGGAGTGACACATTCCTCCTACCTCGACATTTTGAGCAGTTGTGAATAACAGCGCTCAAGAAAGAGGTGGGAGGTTCCACTGCAGAATGCCTGATCTCTGCACAGATTTAATAAAAGGCCAATAAGAGGCCTTATGTTTCAAATGTAAGGATGACAGTATACTGTTTAAGCACTGAAGGCCTTAGCAGGAATTGGATGTCTTGTTTTCTTGAAGTTCTTCTGAGAATTAGAAGCCAGTTGTTCTGTCTCATACACAACAAAATGATGTAATCAGACACAGTAGTAAGAACACTCTGTTTTCAGGGGTAGGGAGTCTGACTTATTCTCCACTCCCTCCTCCTTTATCTTTCATAACTTAAAGAAGAAATTGTTAAGGAGCAAGAAAGGCAGTAAAATCTGCAAAACATATCCCTGAGCAGATCAGAGGGAAAACGAGCTGTTTGAAAGACCCATTTCCCACAATTATTCCATTTCACCTTCAAATGATATTTCGAAACAACTATTTTAAGACAACATCAATGGAATAAGAAATTTTTGGGGGCAGATCTTTCTTGCTAACCAACCCATGACTGACCGCTATAAAATTGCCTCCAGATTTTCAGTGGAGGACATTGCTCTAATGGAAAACACACAACACTAGAGAACACTCTGCCTCTTGAAATGCAGAAAGCACAAATTCAAACTTTTGAAACCATGGAAAAACACTTATTTTAATTGTTTTTTATCCAAGTAACTGCACTTTACAATGAAGTACTGATCTTAAAATGTATTTTAAAGACTTCCTCTGTAAAAGAGATCCATTACAAACAAGGATTAAGAAGCACAATGTGCACTCATGTTTACTTTGAGAAAGATTTCTAGCAAGATAAACTTAAACATTTGTTTTGCTCCAAATGAAACAACTTCATTTGAGCATAATTAAGTGCTCTACACTTATTATGTTACCTACCAGAAATATCTGACTTAGGTGTACAATGTATCTCTGGAATTAAGCCAGTGCTTCTTTTTGAAAGACACAGAAATCGATAATCAATGCAGAATTGTATATAATAACAGCTGCAGGAAATACAAATATGTGAATATGCTACATATATACAAAATAATAAGAGGTACCATTTTAAATAAGATATCATTTGGAACATTTTAATTTTATATCCTTTTTTGCTTTAACAGAAGAGATTATTCTGCCCCCACTCATGCTGATAGATACAAAATCACTTCAGGATCACATAAAAAAGGGGGGAAAAAAGAAAAAGAAGGAAAAAACCTCATCCCCGTCATATTTCAAAAAACAATGTTCAAATATCTTGTAGCAAGAGAAAGTATGTATCAGATGGGATGAGTCAATATCATCAATTTATCACAGCTGACCAAGTTAAGTAGCAAATACAGAGTAAAAAAGCATTTTGCTGTGTCTCTCTCTCTGAGGTTTAAACCTAGAGGCTTTACTTCACATCTGAGGCAGACTAAAATTAGACATATGCTCAGTTACTGCAGTTCAATTGCAGCACAAGAAAAAAGTGCTATTTATTAGTGAACAACATCAACCTAACAGTCAGCTGCCACAGGAAGACTATGCCACTACCCTGGCCACAGCTGCCTTGGATTCAACCCTTCCCTATGCTCACCTGAGTCCACAGTGAGTCACTCCAGAGAAGTAAACTGCAAGACTCTTAACCAGAATGTTTTCTGTGCTTTTGTTCAACGGTTCAGCACACTAATCAGCCAGAGAGAGGGAGTAGGGGTGGGCTAGGACTCAATGCGGGGACAAGGAGGCAAGGAAAGCAGGAGCAGCACAACTTTCCCAGGCAGCTAGCCATAAACTCTGCTAAATTGTATCATCAAGCTGCACCCTTACTCACTTAATGACCTCTGCCTAGAGTTAAGAGTTGCTTCCAATTTATCTCCTAACCCATTTCAAGGCAATTGGTTTTCAGCCATACACGAAGTAGGAGGCTTCATCTGTCACCTATGTGCCTGAGCCCCTTCGCAGAAAAGGCTGCGGGTTTAGGAGAAGCACTGCTGTGACTTGCAGTAGATCTTCCCTAAGTGCAAAATCTGTGCCAGTGATCAATAATTAACATACTTTCACCCTGACCTGTCAAAGGCTAGAGACAAACCAGACACATATGTTGTACTCAGTCCTTTTTGACTGGAAATACTGAAACCATAAATAATCCTCATATATAATCCCGACATAATGTAATTACCTTCAGATGGATGAGCATCCTTTCTGGGAAGTTTAGGGGAAAGAGGAGCAGTATATGGTGGAGAGTCCTGAGAGTATCGTTTAGCATTCCTGTTTTCAGGTATTTCTTCTTTGGCTGTGAAGAGGAAAGTCACCATGTATTATTCCAGCATAAAGCTGCTCATGGGCAAAGTCCGGGGACAAAAGCAAAGACAGACATCAGCCAGTCACCAGGTTACAGCTCAGTTTCTTGTGTCACACAGCCTCAGTCATTTCAATACGAGCTTTCTAAGTTGAATTACCTTGACCCTGTCTACTTATTTTTCTGAAAAGAGTTAAAACTAATGACTTGCACATGACAGATAGGATTATAAATTTAATTCCTCCATTGGAAAGATGAAAAAACCCCATATTTTCTAAAGCAGCACCCAGAAAACAGACTCAACTACCAGACAGCTGAGAGGAAGCTTCGCTCCCAATATGAATCTCCTGAAATTGCCCTGACAACAAGGCCATCTCAGCTATGGCTCCTGGTGACTCTTGATCTGGGACTTGTAACAACACATCCTGCAAACAATCTGTTGGGAGATGTTGGGCAAGTCATTTCCTCTCCACTCTATGTTCCTGAAGCAGCAAAGATACTGGACTCACAGAAAATTTCACAAGCAGCCACCTGCAAAATCCACCTTTTCTACTAGAAGACCGGATCGTACATAGCAGAATGTAAAATTTTTGGAGTCACCACTAAGTAAGGAGAATAAAGAGAAAAGAACCTTTTCCTAATATTGGAAGGGTTAGACTGAATTGCCTTTCAGGGCAAGCCCCTTCTCATAGGCAGCAAGTATCTTTCAGTAAGTTTATTTTATGATCCAAACATAATTTTTAACAAATAAAATGTGAAGTTTTGAGCTTGTCTTTTTAATGGTATCACAGTGGTAAAGTACATATGTTTTCTGGTTTGCCTACAAGGAGGAGTTCGCTGAACAAAATTATTTACACCCATGTGGTATAAGCTATCCCTTCCGTCAAAGCACTACCACAGTGGAACCAATCCACTAAGAACTGAAGTGTATTAATTTCAAGCCATTCGCATCCTAGAAAGACTAAAAATTTACATTTTATAATTCATAATTTCACCGCATTTCTCAAAAATACCAGCACTTGAAAGTAGCAAGTGATTAACAATACCTGGCTTGTTCCTATCATACTCTGTAGGACTATGTGCACATCCCATGTAAGGGCTGAAAGGCTGGCTACTGAAGAGATTATCACACTGCAGGCTGTGGCAGAGCTTCTCCAAGAAGCGCAGGACAAATGATGCACTGTTTACAGAAGGAAGATTGATGGCATGCTTTTCCCCATCAAAGGAAGCTGTGAATAAGAAGATTACATCACACATCGTAAAGTATAGTAAAATACCATCATTAACTTAAAGGAGAAGACATCCAGATTTGATTTAAACCACACAAGACATGAGAGGAGTAAATAATTCCAATAGTTTAAAAAATTCACATCCAAAGGACTGATTGTACCTTCCATTGGATCCATGTCAGTTTAAATTTGCTCTATAGGAACTAGTTTTAATAAAATAATTTGGGATTCACACTAGTATAACAAAACTTGCAGCTATTTCCTCACCACCAAAACTTTGTGTAATTTCTGCTACTTGCTTATAAAACAGTAAGCTTTCCACCACCTATTTGCAGGAGATAGCACACAAAAGACCCTTTAAAATATTTGCTAAAAAAAAAAAAAGCCCAAACAATTTTTTTTCTTTTTTTAAAAAAAGAAGGAATGAAACAAACAATTTTAACATTTTTTTTCTCAGTTTCTAACTGAAGGGAGCATACTTGTGGTAATGTGCTGGCATCCATTACCACTGAAATTTTCACTACGGAAACTTTTGCCATTTATTTTATCACTAGAGAAATCTATGCTGCTGTCAGCACTACAGTGGTCAAGCTCTCACTTATTTCAACAAAAGCTAGGTGGCAGAGACACCACAACAGCCACAAAAGAATCTGTAGTCTTTTAAACCGAGTGATTACAAGGAGCCAGGACATGTGCCTTATGTTTTTTCCTGGCTGATCTCCTTCCTTGCCCCTCAAACACAGTGTGGCAGCTGATATTTTTCCTTTTTTGTGCAAATTAGTAAGGTTTTGAAAAGGCTCAATACTACCAATATATGGATAAATAATTACCATTACATCAGCTGAAACTTTTAGTTACTTCTGATTAGAAAGACTTTACAACAAAGCAGGAACAAACTTGTAACTTAAACTAAGCACTGAAAAGAAGCGGCACGAACACCAGGTTTATGCATCAATTTGTCTTCTTGGTTTTCAGCCTGTCATGCAGTTTCTGTTGTTAACATAAGTTTCCAAATGATAAGCAGAGCATTAAAGGATCACATTTTGTCGGTAGCAGATGCATTAAAAAAATTTTAAAAAGCCAGAAATGACATGAAAGCCTTTATTCACAGATCTGAATTAAGGAATATTTCCATATCGTGTTGCAAAAGAGACAGATAATATACACAAAACCAAAGAAAATGCCCAAGCCTAGCATATTTTAGGCTTCCTTAGGAAATCTGAAGTGTCAATTACTTACACTGTTGATGCAAGGAAGCTTCTGATTAGAGTTAATGCAAGTTAACCAGCTAGCATCAACAACATGCTCCCTCTCCCATCTGCTTTCATGACAGACTGACCAATGCAAGTGCTTGAAGTTTAAGAGTCAGTACTACAGGACAAAAGTGTTTCCATGGCCTGTCGGATTTTTCCAGGCTCCAATGTTCAAATGAAATGTTAATGATTAACAGTCCCACATGTGGCTCAGACACAAGGTCCTCTACATCCTGTTTGGGGAAGGGGTCTCCAAAGGCAAATTTTTGCTTGGAACTCAACCAGTTCTGGAGAGCAAATGGGCTGTGAGACCTAGCACAGCCTGACCTCCTGACAAATTTACTGCAAGGTAGTAGTCAGCTACAGCAGAAATTTAAAATGCTTTATAATAGCTTAATGGATCTTCCTATATGACTTTGGAGAAATGACTTATTCTATATCCCTTAATTTCTCATTTTGAAAGAAGTATTGGAAAGAATAATGTTATTTAAAAGTTGTCAGGAGGATAAAGCAAGAAACAGCTGAGGCATTGTGAGTGTCCCAGCAAAACATTCCATGGGGAAAATCCACAAATAAATATTCAGTGCAAACACAGCTCCCCTGTACTCTGAACACCTCAGGGGAACCATAAAAACTCCAACCAAGGGTGTGTGATCTAGACCCACAGGCTCAACTGTCTGCTCTGCTTGGGGACAATATGAGCATCTTTCTTCCCAGACAAATGCTAGGGGAAAAAAATTAAAAAGAGTACTTTTGAGGTGAAATAACCTCAACCTTTAATGATATATAAACAGGGACTGGAGCTTGTGTGTGCAGTCCCAGCCCCCAGGAGTCATACTCATTTCTTTACCTTCCATTGGGTATGTTTTAAATACCACATTCGAGACAGAAGAAAGACTGAGAGTTAAACTATCAAAAAATGTGTTTTTCTGATAGTGATGAAACTTATCCAAGAGTCTGATTTTAATTCTGTCTTGAGAAAATTTATCTGACCCTCAATCTATTTCATCCCACCAAGCACCATAGTGTCTGTACTACAGGGAGAAAAAAGGGGCTGACACCACCACCATAATGGGCTTGCTAATCAAGCTTTTAATTTCCTTTCAGTTATATTTGCCTGAATTGAAACCTTATGCATCAAGCAAAAATAAAAGGGTTTGTGCCTTTGTTTGAGTAAGAAAAGATGGAAAAATTCTAAATTCAATTTTATTCAAAACAATTATTTTCCTTGGCAGCTGAACTGAAAGAACCCCCTAATTATTCCACAAATTCTAGCAAGATTATTTTATCCATGTCCTCATCAGTACAGTTTCCTCCTACAGCAGGTATAAAACTTGCCATGAAAGCATCAGTTCCCCAAAAGATTTAGATTTCTTTTCTTGTTTTCTGCTGCAACATCCTTTTTTCTTGTCTAAAAAAAAAACCTAAACAAAACGTGAACAACAAACCACCCACCAAAACCACTTTAAATCAAGAAAAGCTACAAGCAAATACTCTTAAAATTTCATTCTGTAATTCCTTATTTTATTCTACTCTTGCTTTCCTCTTCTTCCTTGCTGTTCATGCACACATATACCTCCAATGTGCTACATTAATCTAAGTCATCTTTTGTGGTTCACAAAATATAACACACAAACTTTTGATACAGTGACAGAGACTGTTTGGTCACCTGCTTCTCAGCAACCTGTTTGACAAGCCAATGAGAAGGCAAGAGCTCAAGAACACCAGAAACCCCCTGGGATCTTGTGGCTCACTATCACCTGGACCAGGACTCTACTTCAGGAGCAGTCTACATCACCAGGTTCCTCAAATACAGGGCTACAGAGCTGATTTCTCTGAATACAGGCCTTGGGGTGAAGCCAGATGCAGAACAATACTTCCTTTTTGTGAAGAATTTTTGAATGTAAACAATCCACAACTTCATGAGAAATCTGAAATTTCTTTCTGCTATTTGAAATACTTATTTTCAACTACTCAGTCACAGCCCAGAGTCACCACTGGCCTATGATTTAGTCCTTCATGATAAACAATCACAAACAGAATACTGGCAATGAACATCTCGGTGCATTTTGCTGTAGAAAATTGACTTGTCTGAATTAGGTACAACAAGGAGTTAATAATATAAAAAACTTTCATGGTATTGCAAAAATAAAACAGTATCAGTTTCAAAACCACACATATACAATGCCATTAAACCTTCACTACACAGCTGAGAAGCAGCATCCATTTTGTGAACAAACTCATGGGGATGCCTAAGCAAGATTACTGTAGTTCTGCTGTACACAGGTTGGGGTGCTGCTTTTTAAATATTGTTATGCAGCAACATCTTTATGAGTATTTAACTGAACCTCTATTCCACTAATCATCTTTCACATCTGGTGTTAATCTAAAGAGATTAAAGTCATGCAAAGTCTTTTTATCACCAGTGATGGAATTATGAATTGATGTGCTAACTGCTATATAGAATATTTCCTAGCCTAGAAGGAAAAAAAAGTCAAGAGCAGCTATTCAGTTTGAGATATAAAGATAATTTATCTACAGACCTGCCATCAAAATGTAATAGAAATAAACCTATTCCATATTAGGGGACATAGGTGGATGAAGATCGTGCTGCAGTTCTGGGGAAGGGGGTAAGAGAAGCAGCAGCAACTTTAACATGTGGAATCACTTGCCTGGAAGCTAAACAGATTAGTTTGAGACTTGTCACTCACTTGGTTAATGCATTAAGAACACCAAGTACGGATAAGATTATGCAAATGACTTGAATTAATAGAGCTGATTACTTCACTTGTACTGAGTTTACTTTACAAACATTTAGCTACAGCTGCTAAATGAGGTGCACAAGCTCTGCTTAGTATAAGAGCCTAACCGTGCATATGGAATTTAACACTGCTATTGCTAAATTCTAACTTAAAGAATTATTCAAATCACTCTGAATCCAGAGTGAGATAGATCACTCACCACCAGTAGTGAAGGAGTTCACAAGTATATGTTCTTGCCTGTGTTTACATAGTTACAAAAGTGATATAAATTCATTGTAGTTCTTCAGTTCTTCTGCCCTGCCTCAAGTTCACAACCGAGTGAAGAAACAGAAGAAACCAAGCATCTTCACATACCAGTTATCATTTCCCCTCCGTGATGGCCAGATTTCAGAAATCCAAAGACTGTTTTGGCTTGATAGGCACAATCCACACAAGCCTGTACAGCCTGCTGAAGTACCACATTGACAGGACCTGGTCCAAAGTGGTCTGGAAGCTGCTGAACCTTCTTCTTATCCAGGTGAGGCCCAGAATTTCCATGTTTGTTGACATAAACACACACTGAAAAGGTACAAGCCATATTTACTGCCAAGAAACCAAGACACGTTTCCAAGTTAGAACTGCAAAGTGTCATTTTAGTTTTAATCTCGAGGAAAAGATGTGCTGGTCAACTCAAGAAGCTGAACATGCACACATGCTTTCAGAGCATGCAGAAAGTGCTCTTCCGCCGAGGTTCTCCTGCCTGAGTACTAAACCCACTTTTTCTTCCTGTTCTCTGAAGCCCTTCTCTACCTCACTAATGTAACAAGACTCGTATTTTGATATCTCTGCTCATACACTAGTTCCAATAAAGTATGAATTACTGGCAGATACTCTAAATGACTAAGACACAATTCTAAAAAGCTGGTCTGACCAAGTTACTGTCTAAATTTTTTCCTGTTTAAGAAGTTGCAACAAAGAGAACCCTATGTTATATACCTACCACTGATGCTCATTCTGAAACACTCATATGGCACTAACATATACATGCACACAGGGCCATCATACACACACAATGGCTACTGAAGGCCTGTACCTTCAGAAGATCCAAACCTCTCACACGTGATTCCCACACTGTAACACGGCCTTCTCTGCTAAATAAAATAAACACTTCTCTAGAAACACTGTAAGCTTAGCACAAAAAAAACCATACAGGACTTTTGAAAACACTTTTTAAAGAAACAATGTGAAATTGTCTTCCAAAGAGACTTCCAAGGCAGAAAAACATGGGAAAAAGATGCAACTGATGATTTTTTTTTCTTGTTCAACTTCACTATCACATGACAAAAATTGTACCCAAGACATTATTACAGCTTAATAAAGAAATGTGCCTCTGTGGTGATTAAACAATCTAAACATTCTATTACACAAAAGACTGACATTTTCTGAACTGTAGTATGACTTGCACTTAGATAAAAACCAGGACTTTTGAAACTGAAGTACTTCCACAAGAGTCCTCATCCATATCTGTTTACTCTCTGATGTCTGCAAATTGGAGGAAACCTATTTGTACAAATAATCAAAGCTACAAATCAACAAAAATAGTTTCTATAGCATCTTCTGTCTGGGCTCAACAACAACTGCCTTCCAAAAGGTTTATTTTCCTAGGAAAAAAGTACATGTTTTCTCCTCATCCATGACTGAAATTGGGAGTGAGAAGAGCCTGACAACTTCAATTGTAAAAACAGGTTTTAAATGTAAAAAGGCATCCCAAACAAAATTAGCATAATTTATGGCATTTTTAGGAAGATCCGAGATTTCATGTGACAACACAAAAATTGCTTCACAACAGAGTTACCAGTTCCTCAATGGGTTAGTTCATTTACTAACTTATTTCTTTTCTGCCAACTCTTTTCAAAATGCATTTCAAACATGAGGAAAGAAGAATGTATTCCCTCTGATTCCCTTTACTGGGTTTTAACAGAGTTGTTTCTTTTCATGTAAGGGTATACAAAGATAAAATCTCCATTTTGTTATATTACAGTACAGCCTGCATGATATCAGAATATCATTGCTACATCTACTCCTATTTCATACATTAGGCAGTGGGACAGACATGAAAGAACTGTACAGTTTCCTTCTTCAGACAGGAACAAACTGTCAGGTCTAGCAGATCTATCAAAAGCCCCTGTGCCCCAGCACTTATTGCTGTAATGCAGGCATCAAAATACTAGTTCTGCAAACTAACTCTGGTTCCTACAAATATCTTTAAAAAATAAGGTAGTTGGAAAATGATTTAGTAATAAGTTTGTAGCACATTTGCCATAAAATGACACTATTATTTTCTTTGACATGGAAGCCATTTCAAACATTTTTTTCTTTGTCTTTTACCTGTGGATATAACTGCTGCAGTTGCACCAGACAAACTAAATCCATCTTTATGTATCTGTGTAGTTCCATTGTCCCCCTCAGGAGATGACTGAGGAGAAGGAGATGCAGGAGTTGGTTTTTCTGGCAAGATTTTTTTCTGTTTAGAGAAAAAAAAACAAAGTCAAAATGTTTAACGTTTTTAAAGAGTCTGCAAAACCTTTCTGCTATCAGTTACCATCTTAATGAATCTGTGTGGTTCCTTATTACACAAGTGTCACACACAGGAAAGAAGGTAAAGTTGTGGAAGGGAAGATCAGAAACTGTCAGTTTGCATTTACAGCTACTTTAGTAACGAAGTAGAAGATAAATGACTTATAAAGGAACCCATCTTTATCTAAAAAGTGGGAAAAGAGCAAGCTTTCTATACAAATTTATGAACTCTTCTAAGTGTTACAAAGCACAGAAGTGTTTTGGATTATTTTCCTGTCCATGCCCTTCCAATCACCTGGGTTTATCACAACTCAAGTAAGTTAGTTGCGCTGTGTATATATTGCTATAAAAAACCTGAGTCACATCTGAACATCAACATCACAGCGAACCTGCATTTTCCCTCAACTTGTTCTGAAGGAGCTGGAATTCTCAAGTAACTGCTTTCAGGAATAGGTGCTTCATGAAAGATATCAAATAAACCTGTCATTACAATCCAGTCATGTTGTTGCCAAAACCTTTCCCGTTCCCAAACCAAACTTATTTGAATCTTATCATATGACAGACAACCACCATTTGCAGCACAGAGATTTCGAAATTGGTCAGTGTGCATTATCTTTTCCACCTGAGAAAAGGAGAATATTTTTGTAATTTGGTTTGGACTGGGCTTTAGAAAAGAGATGTGCACAAGAAAGACCTTTTTAATGTGGTTTGACATACTATGAAAATACATGAAAATTAAAGAAAGAATAAATTAGAGTTGATCACTTCTCCCTTCACTACTTATTCTCACATGAGAACAGATAAAATTCTCATTCTCTCACCTAGTAAAAATTAAGAATATAAGAGATTAGTCAAGGTCTTGACACTGCTGAAGGCAGCAGAGACTTGTGGTCATATGGTAAGGATTTACTGTTAAAACTGATAAATAGTAAAATAAAAATTCAGTCAAGTCCCTAAGGAAGGCTAAGCCCTCTTCCATTTAGCAGTATTCATCCTTCACACTTTTAGAAGCAGCATATTTTCCAAATAATGTATTAAAAACAATATAGAAAGCAATCAAAACATACACTTCCCTAAAAAAAGCGGTGCTTAACTTCTTCACAGCATCTATAAAGAATCAATTAACTTCCTTCTGAAATCCAGGGCACTTTGAAGAAAAATTATGGTCCTCTTATAGTTCAGAGAAGATAGGTTTCACTCGAGAAGTGCTTAGCAATATGGCACTGGTGGAATCACTACATAAGGAATAGACTGCCAAGGTTTGGCATTGCATTGTGAACGAGATGAGGTGGCACAGGTTAGATACAAAACCAAGCAGTGATGTATTACTTGTCAGGAATTGCCTAAGTATCTTCACACTGGGTGACAGAAAGGTCTCTCTCCATCCTTAATACAGGGAACAAAAATGGACTTGGGAAGATTGAGCTTTTGATCTGAAATCTAATATTCCTGAAGGGCCCCTGGAGCAGGGGCGGCAGTTGTCCATCACCATGCTGGAAAATATGGGTGGTCAAGTCAAGGAGAACGATGAGGAAATCGGGAAAAATATAGCCATGAAAACAAAATACAAACACTAAACTAAGAGGAACCATCTGCTCTCCATACTAACATACAAGTGTGGTGAGGCCAGCCAGACATCTCCTACCTTCTCCCTCAGAAGAAAACATAGCACATTACAGTTGCTCAGCTGAGGCTCTCATTTTGTATCCCACACTGAGGAGCAGCAAGCTGTGTGCCCAATGCCATGGTGTTTCACAAGGCAGGCCATGTTCCCAGCAGGGCTCAGCACGTTTCCTTGGTCTGGCTGTTGCTGGCTGGTCCCTGCCACTTCTGTCTGCCTGCAGAGAGCACTGCTCAGAGTCTGGTACCACTGGGCCAACTTCAACCACTGGCTTTACCCTGACGCTTAAAAACTCTTTTTGTGAGGTTGAATTTAGGGCTGTTACGCATACTCAGACCAAGGTGTTTCCTCAAGAAATTCTGAAAGGAATTCTTTGCACTGTTATGCAAATGTACTTTTAAAATATAATGAAAGAGATGTAAAGAGGTTTCTTCTTCATTATGACAGAGTAAAAACATACAGTGCAAACTGTGAGAAACAAATGGAAAACAAAATCCATCATGCATCTCCTGCTTGTAGGGCAGCTTAGAAAAAAATTTAAATAAAGGAGAAAAATGACGCAAGGGCTCAACATTCCTAGCTGTGCAATAAAAGTTAATATCTGCACAGTGATAAACATTGCAGCATAACAAACCTAAAAGGGCAAAGAAATTCAAACAACTACAGAGTAACAGGCATAGACCAATCTCTCTAAATACAGAGGTTTTGAACTATCACACAGCCAGCTCACACCTGAAGCACAATTATTCAGTCTAAAATCTGGAGGAGTTTTTTTGGATCAGTCTTGGGGGAGAAAGAAAAAAAAAAAGAAAAAAAATCACTTTCAAATCTCTAGGCACATACCATTTGCATATGTCCTGTGAGGTATACAGGCTGTATGGCACTCCATGTCAGATACACTCTGTGCACAATTCCCACAAAGCTGCATTTCACCTCTTTACCCTTATGCCAACAGGTGTAACAGTCCAAAGAAAAGCTTGCACAGATGTATAACATCTTGGCAATTTAACCATGTACCAAAGCAATAACAACTTTCTGTGAATTCTCAAAAGGAGCTAATTTTTCAAGTTTTTGATGCAAAAGTTAATGTAGTAAAACTCCCAAATTAGATACATCAAAACTTAGATTTTGCGAAACCAACTCTGTTGCCAGAGGAAATCAGCAGTGCACAGATTTCACTATGCATCTCAGATTCACTGCCCCAAGACAGGGAGTGTCAGCAGTAAACCCCCATTCTCCATCAGTTCCCCCAGGTACCTCACACAGATCAGGTGTCAAATGCAGTGCTCCAAGCAGACACTTTGAGACATCCAGTCTGAGCCCAGAAGCCTCTTCTAAGGGCAAGATATCTCCAACTATTGTTTCAAAAGATAGATAAAGCCTCTCGATTTCTTTTTAATGAGAGAGAGAACAAACTTCATACGTGAAAGTGCGCATCCTGCCATACCTGAGTAAGACCTTAAGATTTGACAGTCCTGTGTTCAATGCTGTACTTTAAAACCTCCCCAGACTTGTGGAGAACACGCCACCCACTAGCTAATGCTGAACGGAAGCACCCTTCTCCTCTTTAATCTGTGCCTCTGTGCACTTTCATACACCAAGCAAGAGACAAACAAAACTGGAGACCAATCCCATCAGTTGCCTACCAGTTTGGATGTCTGACTGGAAGGGGCAGGCAGCAGAGAAGACAGTGCTCAGCTTTCAATTTCTGGTCCCCAAGATCATTTCTTATCTTGTGGTCATCATTTCAACAAAGTGCTGCTTCCAGTTTTGTACTAGAGAGTTCTGGTTACGCTCTAATAATGTTACTTCACTAGCACTTGACACTGATCAGCACTGTCACTGAAGGGAGAATTCCCACCTGTGCCATTACTTCACCCCTTTCCACACATCACTAGCAATAGATCCCACAGCCCACACTGATATAGAGTGAAGGAGAAAAGCCGCAAAACTTCTACTCTTTTAATCTTTGGAGGGGAGTGGGTAACGAACACAAAAAAAAAATCCAACAGTGTCCCCCACCTCCCACTAGTGCTAATGCAAAGGAAGAAGGAGTAGATTGCCTGAGGAAAGACACTGCAGGATTGCTACTCCTCTTTGACAGCCTGCTGTGCATGAGCAAGCCTCAGAAAATAGATCGTACTTCCACAGCAATCCAAATTGCCTGAAATCTGTCCTGCTGTGATCCTATTCTTCCTTGCAGCAGCTGTAGCACTTGTGCTTTTTTGGGGTGGAGCAGACAAAGAAGGAAATAAGAGGGACGGATGTTGTGCTAGTTGTCTACCAGTTGAGCTCCCTGAACTATCTCACTCAGACAGGTTACCCACCAGCACTGGTACCACATGGGAGCGGGAAGTGGGGTGAGGGTACAGCAGTGTCAATGTGTACCTGATCAAACAGCTCCACTGCAGGTGAAGCTGGAGGCAGCTGCCAACACTCAGATCTGACTCAGCTTGGCAGGGACAAAGGCAGAAAGGCATCATGTCTTTCAGACCAGGGCAGAATTAGGCCCACACCTAGAGAAATGTTTTGCCTGAAAGAAGCTTTGTGCTTCATGCTAGTAGTATCTCCCGGATTAGGGTGTATCCACGAGATTCATTTGGCAAATCCAGCTGTATGCTTAAGAAGCCTAAATTATGCAACAAAGCCCTCACTGTTCTTTTGTTTCTAACCCAAAACAAAACAAAAAAATAAAAAAATTACACACGCTATATATATGGTTCAGTAACAAACTAACTCGGACTAAAAAGCTTAAAGGCTTTCCTGGCTCTTGCAATTTTACTGGGAATGGCTATTCCAGAATAGCATTTTTCAACACCAACTACTCACCCATAAATAATTTAGTAATCTTGTTTGGGAATAAAATAATCCACAGACTCTTACACTGAAATATTCCAGGATAGCTATTCTAGATTTTTTCTTGTAATCAGTTGCTGAAAACAGTAAAGCCCTGAAGGCTGAAGAGAAGACAGAAAATTTAATAATAATAATAATAAAAAACTCACTCCAAAATTTTGCAGTACAAAGTAAAGTAGTAGATAAGGACTAACCTTTTTTCCAGGTTTTAAACTTTTTTTCCTTGTTTTAAGATTTTCAGTATGAGAGGTGCTTTTTGTCAGGGGAATATTTTTAGGAGACCGGCCCTTCTTGGGAACTGCAGACTGTCCAGGGGGTTTGCCCCGACCTGGTTTCCTGCCTCGCTGTGCTGGTACTGGAGCAGATTTCTGTGGAGACTGCATTGAACGCCGGGTCACTTTGGAAGGGGAAGATTGGATTTTTGCACTGCTCTTTGTAATGGAAACTGAGGAAAAACAAAAACAAAAGGGAAGGGGGGGAAAACCTCAAAATGAACAATGGAAAGCAACTTTTCTAACAAAGGCTTAAAAAAAGAAAAGTGTACTGCACAATTTACATTGTAAAATAAATATACTTTGTATTTTGAACTTAAGTGGTTGGCATGAAACTATGTAACTCTATTGAAGCCAAAGAGAGAACTCTTTGTACCCATTCTTTCAGAGGAACTTTCCTAAGAGAAAAACGTTCAAATAAGAATTGGAAAAAAAAATAACGAAAAAAAAATAACAAAAAAAAACCCAAAAATAATTAATCCACTCACCTTATAAATGCTTCCCATAATTTAATTATGATATTTATAAAGTGCCATTCATCAAGAAGGCCTTCATGAAGAAGGCTAAAAACTATACAGCCTGTAATATATCCCCTTTCCTCTAAGAGCCGTTTCACAATTGCAAGACATGCCAACAACTTCCAGGGCACTACAAAACAATTCTGAGCGGCAAAAAAAATCAGCCCACTGACAACGAAAACTGATGACAGGTAAAAAGTCATTAATGAGCATTTCTCTGAGATGCCAGTTTAGAAAGTTAAGTTTACATAACTAGACCCAGATTTTTCTGCCTCAAAGCATTTGGAAGAAGGACATCCAAAAATCAAACACAAAGTATCATTTTTATTCATTCTTTACATTGAAGTGGTTTTCTCCCATGAAATGAGTGAATCTCCCATCCCAATACAAATTCAATATGGGATCCCAATAGATATCCACTTGGATATGATCCAATATGCATATGATCCAATATGTATTATAATCTGGTGTGAAGCTGCAGGATGTGATCAGATTTCACTGAATTGAACTTCCTAGTTAAGAGTCTTTTCCATCCAATTCACTCTTCTCTGAAATAACAATGATGATTTTATTTTATCTATTTCCAACCCAACGGACAGATTAAAACACTAAAAGGATGCCAAACAGAACCTTCATATAAGGACATATCCTCACTGAAAAGACGTGCCACACCATGCTATAGTGGCACCTGTGGCCAAAAAAAAGCAAATACTAAGTCCAGAAGGCCAATAAATATTCCATTTTGTTGACCTGCTTGCTGGCAGGCAGATAGATTTTACAAGTTGCAGAGCAGGTAAGAAGATGAAAATAGGAAATTTTGTGACATCAAACCACCCTTGTTGAGAAGTATGATAAAGAAACACACAACATATTTAAGCCTTTACGCTCAAAATTAGCTTTCTAGTATCACACTGCTCCTACCACAGCCTTTTGCATCTCACTGATGGTGAAACTCAAGTGATTTACCATAACCTTAAATACTATGAACCTAATGTGACATAACTTTGAAGTATTGCAAATTAGGGTTCAAGCAAGCTTTAACTACGTCAGTCACCAGTGCCTGATCCAAAGCACTAATGCAGACTGGAAGTGGAGCACACGGGGCTGCTACTTCTGGATTTTTGTGATTTTGGAATATTTCTTCTCCGAAAAGATAACTATGTTGAGGCTTTCCGGTAACAAAGGAAAACACAAAATAAAACACAAAGATAAATTTGAAATGAGATCTCAAGAAAATAACACATATAAAGACTGAGTAACAGTTTTAATGTCTAGCTCTCTGAGTGATACTCAACAGTCCAGCACCTAGCTTTACAACTGTTACTTTAACTCCATATTTTTACTCAGGAGTTAACTGTTATTAAGTATTTGCAATAGAAAATGTCACAGTAAGATGAAATACACACTGTGCCCAGACTTCTTATAAAATACAAGTACTCCTGACACCCATTTCTAGAGCTGTAGGATCATTTACATACACTGCTATTTGCCTGATTCGGTTATTAATCTAATATTCCTAAATGGCAGTTCAGAAGAAATCTCTGGTTGCAATCCTAACACATCAAATACAGACATGATATTTCCTAGGTATCTGAGAAGGACCACCTTCTGGATGTGCGAAGCGATCACTTTCCTTTTATTTATGTATACCAAAATGTATTTTCATATGCAATGACAGCTTAAAATAAGATGAACAGAATTTTAACCAAATGCTGGCACAGCATTACTTTTATGTCCCTGAATGGCAACTCATGTTAAGCTGTATGTCTGGAAAGCAAAACAATATCAACTATATGCTGTACAATGCAGTAATACATATTGTGCCCTGTATTTGCTTACAATATAAAATGCAGCTATTTACTTTTGCCACACAACTATGCATTTAACAAAACAATCATGACCTTGTAAAGAGATGTTTAACAAATTCTTTGTGCCTCTGTCTATGCTGAAATCTAGCAAATGCATTCCTGTTCTCGCATAGTAAAGACACAGATAATGTTAAATACATAGCTACTTTCAAGTCAACAGGTTCTAGGACCACAGGTATGAGTTTTGGGACACTGGACAATCCCTATTCCCTTCCAGAAGGACATTTACTGGACAAAGAGTAACAATGCAATCAGCTCCAACCACTTTAGGTTGCACTATTGAACCACACGCATCAAGTACTACCTTATCTCAGCATCTTCCTACCTGTGTACGCCAGAGGAGCAAATATTAGCAGCATTAACCATTAAGGGGGGGGAAATCAGGTCCCACCGGTATTTTTCCTTCTGCCTAGGGCTGAAGCTGCTTTTTTCAATAGGCAGGACTGCAACAAAGCCCATGCTGCCTGGACAGCCTCCTCGAGATAGCAGCAAATAAGGAGGCTGCTATTTGCATTTGTTGATTTAAGAGAGGATGGGGGGAGCGCAAGGGAGTGGGAGACTGCTAAAGTAATTCCCATATTGTCTGCAGGCTGTATTGACAGTGATCATCAGTCACCTGCTCATACTTCCTTCAGCCCGGCCTTCAGAGGGAGACCAAAGGTTACACCGGGTCACAGGATCTGGAGGGAAATGAAAAGACATGCAAAATCAAGCTGCCAACCCACTGCATCTGTAGACAGAGTTATCCCCACATGGCCACATGTTCCAAAAACTAAGACATTTTAATAGTCTCATGAGAACTTGTTAAAATATAACGATGAAGAGAATAGAGAGGAAAAATGCCAAGCTCTGCTTGCAATTACTGCAGTATTTAGTTGGGATATTTACAACCAAAAAAGCACATTTGCCTTTTCAGGATGCTGCTTTGCATCACAAAGGCCTTCTCATTTGCACAAACAAAATCAAGCATTTGTGTCATGTTGCTCTTCTACACAAATATCCACTGCTCCAGTTTATGGAGTGGGATGCACAGCTTTCCTTCCTAAGTGTCTTATTTACACCCAAAACCTGTACTGGCACTCTCAATAACCAAACAGCAGAGACCACACTATACAGACATACTTCACCATAGTAACGTTAGCAACTAAACAGCATTTTCAAAGTTCACAGACCTCTAGTTATACTGCCATGTTTGTGTGGGCTATAGGTGACTACCTTCGTGCAACTCACAAACAGCTTTCATACTTTCAATCACTTCTCTTTCAAAATATTCTTCTTTTTTCCCCCCCAAGCAGTTCTGTGAGAATGCCAACACCTACAAACTTTGTGTCCAGTGTACATAAGAGAAACCGCAAATCCTGTATCCTGGAACTCACAGCCTAAAGATGTGTGGCTGCAACTCAGCCCTAGTTAGGACAAGCAGATCCACTGCAGTCAACTGAGCTCATTTGCATGAGAAGGACATGACAGATTAGACTTCACATGAGGGCCAAATTCTACTTCACAGAAGCAAAAAAACTGCCCAGACACAGGCAGGTCTGCAAAATTTGACCCCAGAATATTATCTCCAAGATCTCTTGCCAGAATAAGTCAGATATTTAAGGCAACTGTGAAATCTGAAGTTACTGAAACCTCTAGTACTTGGGAAGGGAAGGGAATGGAACAGATGACAGCTCAGAAGCCTGAATTCTCATGCAATTCTAATTACTAAAATTCCCTCAAATAATCCACAGTGACAGTTTCACTCCATGTTTTTATGCAAAGCAGGGGAAAAAAGGTTCAGATTTGTAATATTTAAACATTATAAATCTACTGTTCAGTTAGTGTCACCGAACAGCAATTACAAGACAAGACTTAAAAAAGCTCAAGTGAAATTACACAAAGCAATATAGGGGCTCTCTTTGCTGTACATTCTGTAAACACAGCATTGCTACCTGAGGTGAAGGTGCCAATTAGGACAGTAAAAACAGCAGTTCACTGTTTAAACTAGGTTTTCTTTCGAGATGGAAATTATTCTATTTGTACTGTAGCATTGTTCCTATGCCCCCACTGATACACAAATCCAACGTTCTTCTGAGAATATAAAAACTAGGTCCTTCTCTCATCTACAGCTGAAGAAAATGAGGCAAAGAGATTAAGCAATTTACCCTAAATCCATGTGAGCATTCCACAGCAGAAGTAATGGAAATATATCTCCCGAGTTCTAGCCTGGAATTTTAACTATAAAATTAACCTTCTTTAATACTGTAAGTTATTATCATGATAGTTTTGACAACTGGCAAAGGAAGTGGAAAAGATTAGCAATTTTTCAAAACAGCTTATTGCCAAGGATTATAAAAATTTATGTCCTTATGTCTCAATTGAACAAGAGAGCCATACAAAAGCATAAATATCTGTAATACATTCCACCTCTTTCTATCTGTGTTTGGATTACTTCTGATTAAGAGGTAGCTGCAAGATACTAATTGATATGTTGCTATGATACAAAATCAGTTAAAAGTAATTATTTTGCTATCTAAAAAGCAACACTGCACTTGGAAACTCCAACATCCACCTTGGCAAGACATGGACAGTACAACATGCAATTTTCCTCTTTCTAGATTTTAGTTTCTACTGCCAGTATAATAAAAGAAAGCAAAAAAATCTCTTGCTATTTTCTGCACAAATTTTTAGCCTTTCACAGCCTTGAAAGGTGAAATGGAGGGCTCCAAGCAACACAAGACAAAACTGGAGGAAAGGAAAAGCATTTCTCTCCTCCTGACTTTGCCAGGCAGCATTGTAGCACCT